CATGCTCACACCCATAATAAGAGCGTATATATATATAATATATATATATATATATATATAATATATATATATATATAATATATATATATAAATATATATATAATATATATATAATATATACACACACACCACACCCTAATCCATTGGAAAATACGATCCTTAATTAAGAGTAGCGCATCCAGCGGAACTGGATGTTGTACTCGCTACCCAAGGGACTAGAATGAAATTAGCCTAGAGTCATCTACACCATCGTGTGTCCTTGGGTAGCGAGTACAACATCCAGTTCCGCTGGATGTGCTACTCTTAAGGATCGTATGGTCCAGTGGATTAGGGCATCATGTGTTATCGCCCACCGTGAGGCAGGCCAAAGCAGCGTGGGTTCGAGCCTTTGTCAAGTGCAGTGTTGTTATTGATCAATACCACTCGTTCGTGGTCACAAATATATATATATATATATGTATATATATTATTGTGAGATGTTGGAGTGTAAGCAGGATAATATTTAGTGAAGGGATTCAGGGAAACCGGTTATTTTATATAACCGGACTTGAGTCCTGGAAATGGGAAGTACAATACCTGCACTCTAAAGGAGGGGTTTGAGATATTGGCAGTTTGGAGGGATACATTGTGTATTTTTATGCGTATATACTTCTAAACTGTTGTATTCTGGGCACCTCTGCAAAAACAGTGATTACGTTTAAAGATATATTTTTTTCATTAATGTTGATGTAAAAATTTATAATTTTGCACCAAAAGAATCTTAGAAAACTTACCTAACCTTATTGTAACAAGAATAATTTATTTTAGCCTAACCCAACTAAATATATTTTAGATTTGTTTACAATAATTTAATACTAAACAAACACAGTGAAATATATTTTTTTCGTTAGGTTCAGAATGATTTTGGCGAAATTATTGCATACACAAATTTTCACTTGTCCTATATGGCAAGATGAGCGTTGCTATTTAAGCCAAGATCGCAAGTTCTGCCTATTCGGCACGACATATATATATGGGGTGTATGTGTGTGTGTGTGTCTTTGAATACATACATGAGGTGCAATCAGAAAGTTCCTTGACTGCAGTAAAAAAAAATTATAGGCTTGCCTAATCACCTAGTTGAAGTTGTTTCTCTTTGGTATTCTGTACACTGATCCCAGCGCCTCTGCTACTTCTCCATATATTTCTGGAACTCTTTCTTTCCTAACGACGTCTAGCAGAGCCTGTGATTCTGCTTGAATCTCCTCCACGTCGTTAAAACGCAGCCCAATGGGAACTATTTTTATATTTGGGAAGAGAAAGAAGTCACAGGGTGCTAGGTCTGGGGAGTAAGGAGGGTGGGGGACGACCACCATATTGTTTTTGGCCAGAAAATGATGTTTTTTTCTGGTCTTGAGTCGGCAAGTGAAGAAGAGATTTTGTAGCTGCTCCATTCATTTTTATATTTTTAGTGAAAGTGCTTTGACACGACCTATCAGAAATTCCCACAGCACTTGCAATATCTGAATTGTCTAAGGACGATCATCGTGAATAACTTTGCTGACTTTTCCAATGTTGACGTCTGTTTTTGATGTTGATGAACAACCAGAGTGTTCATTATCCTCAACTGACGTTCGTCCTGCTTTGAAATGAGAGTATCATCTAAAATACTGTGTCCGACCCATTGCTTCATCACCAAATGTTTGCTGAATCATTTTGTGAGTTTCATTAGCCGTTTTATCAAGCCTGATACAGAATTTACACACACACATACACACAAGCTAAGACTCGACCCCTGCAACCCCAAATAGGTGAGTACACACACACACACACACACACACACACACACACACACACACACACACACACACACACACACACACACAAGCTAAGACTCGACCTCTGCAACCACATAAAGGTGAGTAAGTGAGTACACAAACACACAAGTCGTTCTTTTAAAAGTTTCATTCTGTGGCTTAAATAATATTTGATCATACTGACATGAGAAAAATGCCCGTCTAACCTAACTTAATGACCGACCGCACTGAAACTATCTACTGTACATGCCAGAACAGTGTACTTGAGCAGCTTGATTTACGCCGCCGTCATATATCACCCAGCAAGTGTGTGAAAATTTGAGTCCAAGAACTTTCTGATAGCACCTCTTACATATAAATTATATTTTATATATATACTGAGATATGTACTCCATGAAGGTGTACATGTGCTGTTGCTGTCAGTGTACAAGTACTCCATGAAGGTGTACATGTGCTGTTGCTGTCAGTGTACAAGTACTCCATGAAGGTGTACATGTGCTGTTGCTGTCAGTGTACAAGTACTCCATGAAGGTGTACATGTGCTGTTGCTCTCAGTGTACAAGTATTAGGACTAATGTACTCATCGGAACATATTCAAATTATATATAATGTTGGTCGATTAATTGGACGGACAGCCATCCGGCTCTACGAGGCTCAGTAAGGTTACGTATATATACGCTGAGAGACATACACCTTTCCGAGAACCTAATCTTGTATATAAGGTTGATTAATTGGGTTAAAAGCCTATCTACTACACAGAGGTTCATTAAAGCTGCGTGTAATATGTTTACTGCCAGTTAAGAATACTTTAATCTCAGCTACGGTCCTATTGGGATTAAATATATTATTCCCTTCATTATGTCGTCCACAAACCCCCTTGGGTAACAAGACACAGGCTGTCTGGCCTGTACCTGGCAGGTGTGTCTGCGTCTGATGTGTGTTGTCATGCATGGAACCTATCGTAAATCCCTACGGCTTTATGGGATTATATAAATACCTCCAGGGTTAGTAAGAGAGTCTATGTTGACTTCAGAGGTGGTAAGAAAGTCATTGATGACTTGAGAGGTAGTAAGAATGAGTCAGTGTTGACTTGAGAGGTAGTAAGAATGAGTCAGTGTTGACTTGAGAGGTACTAAGAATGAGTCAGTGTTGACTTGAGAGGTAGTAAGAATGAGTCAGTGTTGACTTGAGAGGTACTAAGAATGAGTCAGTGTTGACTTGAGAGGTACTACGAATGAGTCAGTGTTGGCTTCAAAGGTAGTGAGAATGAGTCAGTGTTACTTCAGGGGTGGCAATAATGAGCAAATGTTGACTTCAGAGGTAGTAAAAGTGAGTGAATGTTGACTTCAGGCGTGGTAAGAATGAGCAAATGTTGACCTGCTTAGTATAGGCTGATAGACCTGCAGCTACAGTCTTGTGTTTTCATATCACCGCTGATGTTAAACAGACACGGAAACTTTTGCCACACTCTGTGCTATTTGTTTCGTGTGCACTGAGACGGAGGGAGATGAGTTTATGGGATAAGGAAACATTTTTCTCAGATCACTGCAGTAAACAGGTCTGAGCTTATGGGATACGGGGATAACTTTCTCAGATCATTGAGGTAGAAAGTGGTTGAGTTTAGGAAACATGGGAATACCTTTCTGTCGTCGCAGAGCGACGCTGTATGACCCTTGTCGGTTTAGCGCTTTTTTTAGCATATTAATAATGATTCGCACAGCGACCGAAAAACATCTAGTTTGTTTAGTGATTTAACAGCTGGGTAGGTCTCTGATGTTACCTCAGCTGAGTAGGTATCTGATGTTACCCCAGCTGAGTAGGTCTCTGATGTTACCTCAGCTGAGTAGGTATCTGATGTTACCACAGCTGAGTAGGTCTCTGATGTTACCTCAGTTGAGTAGGTCTCTGATGTTACCTCAGTTGAGTAGGTATCTGATGTTACCCCCAACTGAGTAGGTCTCTGATGTTACCTCAGTTGAGTAGGTATCTGATGTTACCCCCAACTGAGTAGGTCTCTGATGTTACCTCAGTTGAGTAGGTATCTGATGTTACCTCAGTTGAGTAGGTATCTGATGTTACCCCAGCTGGGTAGGTCTCTGATGTTAACTCAGCTGAGTAGGTATCTGATGTTACCCCAGCTGAGTAGGTCTCTGATGTTACCTCAGCTGAGTAGGTATCTGATGTTACGACAGCTGAGTAGGTCTCTGATGTTACCTCAGTTGAGTAGGTATCTGATGTTACCTCAGTTGAGTAGGTATCTGATGTTACCCCAGCTGGGTAGGTCTCTGATGTTACCTCAGTTGAGTAGGTATCTGATGTTACCCCAGCTGAGTAGGTCTCTGATGTTACCTCAGTTGAGTAGGTCTCTGATGTTACCTCAGTTGAGTAGGTATCTGATGTTACCTCAGTTGAGTAGGTATCTGATGTTACCCCAGCTGAGTAGGTCTCTGATGTTACCTCAGTTGAGTAGGTCTCTGATGTTACCTCAGTTGAGTAAGTATCTGATGTTACCCCAGCTGAGTAGGTCTCTGATGTTACCTCAGTTGAGTAGGTCTCTAATGTTACCCCAGCTGAGTAGGTTTCTGATGTTACCCCAGCTGAGTAGGTCTCTCATGTTACTTAAGCTGAGTAGGTCTCTGATGTTACCTTAGTTGAGTACGTATCTGATGTTACCCCAGCTGAGTAGGTCTCTGATGTTACCTCAGCTGAGTAGGTCTCTGATGTTACCTCAGCTGAGTAGGTCTCTGATGTTACCACAGCTGAGCAGGTCTCTGATGTTACCCCAGCTGAGTAGGTCTCTCATGTTACTTAAGCTGAGTAGGTCTCTGATGTTACCTCAGTTGAGTAGGTATCTGATGTTACCCCAGCTGAGTCGGTCTCTGATGTTACCTCTGCTGAGTAGGTCTCTGATGTTTCCTCAGCTGAGCAGGTCTCTGATGTTACCCCAGCTGAGTAGGTCTCTCATGTTACTTAAGCTGAGTAGGTCTCTGATGTTACCTCAGCTGAGTAGGCTTCTGAAATTACCTCAGCTGAGTAGGTCTCTGATGTTACTTCAGCTGAGTAGGTCTCTGATGTTACTTCTAATGAACAGGTCTCTGATGTTACCTCAGCTGAGCAGGTCTCTGATGTTACCCCAGCTGAGTAGGTCTCTGATATTACCTCAACGGAGTAGGTCTCTGATGTTACTTCAGCTGAGTTCAGTAGTTATCATACCTTAAGCGAGAATGTAGAGCAGAAATAACGTAAACTTTAACAAAGTCTTCTTCTGAAAACTTAAGTTTGGGGTAAGTATTAAACTCTGACAGCCACGTTAGGTGTAGATATGTAGCTTAAAACTCACCTCAGCAGCTACATTAGGTGAAGGTAGGTTCATGTATCCAGCGCCGCTCCTTCCTCCATCTCTGCCTTGCACCAGACCTGTGGAAGCAGAGAAACACTCTGTCAGTAATGATTTAAATATAACTGGGGATATACTGGAAGCTGAAGGAGCGCACCAGTGTTGTGTGTGTGTGTGTGTGTGTGTGTGTGTGTGTTTTGTGTGTGTGTGATGTGTGTGTGTGTGTGGTGTGGTGTGTGTGTGTGTGTGTGGTGTGTGTGTGTGTGTGGTGTGTGTGTGTGTGTGTGTGTTGTGTGTGTGTGTGTGTGTTGTGTGTTGTGTGTGTGTGTGTGTGTGTGTGTGTGGGGTGTGGTGGTAGTGTGTGTGTGTGTGTGTGTTGTGTGTGGTGTGTGGTGGTGTGTGTGTTGTGTGTGTGTGTGTGTGTGTGTGTGTGTTGTGGTGTGTGTGTGTGTGTGTGTGTGTGTGTGGTGTGTGTGTGTGGGTGTGTGTGTGTGTGGTGTGTGTGTGGTGTGTGGTGTGTGTGTGTGTGTGTGTGGTTGTGTGGGTGGTTGTGTGTGTTGGGTGGTGTGTGTGTGTGTGTGTGTTTGTGTGTGTGGTGTGTGTGTGTGTGTGTGGTGTGTGTGTGGGGGGTGTGATGTGTGGTGTGTGTGTGTGTGGTGTGTGTGTGGTGTGTGTGTGGTGTGTGTGTGTGTGTTGTGTGTTGTGTGTGTGTGTGTTTTGTGGTGTAGTGTTGTGTGTGTGTGGTGTTTTGTGTGTGTGTGTGTGTGTGTGTGTGGTGTGGTGTGTGTGTGTGTGTGTTTTTGTGTGTGTGTGTGTGGGGTGTGGTGGTTGTGGTGGTGTGTGTGTGTGTGGTGTGTGTGTGTTGGGTGGTGTGTGTGTGATGTGTGGGTGTGTTGTGTGTGGTGTGTGGGGTGTGTGTGTGGTGGTGTGGTGTGGGTGGCTGTGTGTGTGGTGTGTGTGTGTGTGTGTTGGGGTTGTGTTGTGTGGGTGTGTTGGTGGTGTGTGTGTTGTTTGTGGTGTGTTTGTGTGTGTGGTGGGGTGTGGTGTTGTGTGTGTGGTGTGTGTGTGTTGTTGGGGTGTGTGTGTGTGTGGTGTGGTGTGTGTGTGTGTGTTTGTGTGTGTGTGTGTGTGTTGTGTGTGTGTGTGTGTGTGTGTTTTGTGTGTGTTTTGTGTGTATGGTGGTGTGTGTGTGTGTGGTGTGTTGTATGTGTGGTGTGTGTGTGTGTGGGTGTGTGTGTGTGTGTGTGTGTGTATGGTGTGTGTGTGTGTGGGTGTGGTGTGGTGTGTGTGTGTGGTGTGTGTGTTTGGGGTGGGGTGGTGTGTGTGTGTACTCACCTATTTGTACTCACCTATTTGTGGTGCAGGGGTCGATTCACAGCTCCTGGCCCCGCCTCTTCGCTGATTGCTACTAGGTCCTCTCTCTCCCTGCCCCATGGAGCTCTATCATACCTCGCCTTAAAACTATGTATGGTTCCTGCCTCCACCACATCACTTTCTAGGCTATTCCATGGCCTGACTACTCTATGACTGAAGAAATACTTCCTAACATCCCTTTGATTCATCTGAGTCTTCAACTTCCAATTGTGACCTCTTGTGTCTGTGTCCCATCTCTGGAACATCCCGTCTTTGTCCACCTCGTCTATTCCGCCAGTATTTTATATGTCGTTTATCATGTCTCCCCTGACCTCCTGGCCTCCAGTGTCGTCAGGCCGATTTCCTCAACCTTTCTTCATAGGACAATCCCCGTAGCTCTGGGACTAGTCTTGTTGCAAACCTTTGCACTTTCTCTAATTTCTTGACGTGCTTGACTAGGTGTGGATTCCAAACTGGTGCTGCATACTCCAGTATGGGCCTGACGTAGATGGTATACAGAGTCTTAAACGAATCCTTACTGAGGTACTGGAACGCTATCCGTAGGTTTGCCAGGCGCCCGTATGCTGCAGCAGTTATCTGATTGATGTGCGCCTCAGGAGATATGCTCGGTGTTATACTCACCCCAGATCTTTTCTCTTGAGTGAGGTTTGCAGTCTTGGCCATCTAAACTATATTTGTGTCCGCAGTCTTTTTTGCCCTTCCCCAATCTTCATGACTTTGCATTTGGCAGAGGTTAAATTCAAGAGCCAGTTGCTGGACCAGGCTTGTAGCCTGTCCAGTCTCTTTGTAGTCCTGCCTGATCCTCGTCCGATTCGATTCTTCTCATAACTTCACATCATCTGCAAACAAGGACACTTCTGAGTCTATCCCTTCCGTATGTCGTTCACGTATACCAAGAACAGCACAGGTCCTAGGACTGACCCCTGTGGAACCCCGCTTGTCACAGGCGCCCACCCTGACACCTCGTCGCGTACCATGACTCGTTGTTGCCTCCCTGTCAGATATTTTCTGATCCATTGCAGTCCCTTTCTGTTTTGTGTCCCTGGTCCTCAAACTTTTGCAGTAACCTCTTGGGAGGAACTCTGTGGTTGTGGTGTGTGTTGTGTGTTTTTGTGTGTGTGTGTGTGTGTTTTGGTGTGGGGAGGTGTGTGTGGTGGGGTGTGGGGTTTGGGTGTGGGGTGTGTTTTGGTGTGTGTGTGTTGGTGTTTTGTGTGTGGGGGTTTTGTGTGTGGTGGGTGTTGTGTGTGTGTGTGTTTTGTGTGGTGTGTTGTGTGTGTGGGGTTGGTGTGTGTGTTGTGTGGGTGTTGTGTGGGTGTGTGTTTGGTTTTGGGTGTGGGGGTGTGTGTTGTGTGTGGTGTGTGTGTGGGTGGTGTGTGTGTGTGTGTTGTGTGGGTGGGGTTGTTTTGTTGTGGTGTGTGGTGTGGGGTGTGTTGTGTTTGTGTTTTGTGTGTGTGTGTGTGGTTGTGTGTGTGTGTGCTCACCGTTGAACTCACCTAGTTGGGGTTAAAGGGGGTCGAGCCAAGCTCCGGGCCCCGGGCCTTCATGGTGCTATTAGGTCACTCTCCTGAACCATGGCTTTTTTCGAAACCCTCTATTTAAAAAGCATGTATGGATCCTGCCCCCACTAAAATCCTTCCCAAACTTTCCACTTCCTGATATTTGGGGTGAAGAAATACTTCCAAAACATCCCTGTGTTTTCATCGGGGCCCTTCCCGCTTCCAACTGGCCCCCTTTGCTGTTTTTCCATCTCGGGAACATCCTGTCTTTGCCCACCTTGTAAATTTCCCCTCTCATATTTTGTAAGTCTTTACCCATGCCCCCCTATTTTCCCCGTCCTCCTTTGTCGTCAGGTTGTTTTTCCTTAACCTCTCCCTTGGGGAAACCTTTTAAACCGGGCTAGTTTTGGGTTGAAAACCCTCCCCACTTTTCTAGTTTCTTTACGTAAATTGGCTATTGTGGGTTCCAAACTGGACCGCATACTCTAAGGGGGGCCAAAAACAAACACGGTGTAAAAGGTTTTGAAGGTTTTCCTTTTAAGTGTGGGGAAAGCTGTTCTGAGGTTTGCTGGGGCGCCCATATGCGCGGGCCGTTTTTTTTGGGTTTATGTGCGATTCAGGGAAAGTGTCTGGGGTTATACTCACCCCCAAGGGGGTTTTTTCCCTTTAGTGATGTTTGTAGTCTCTGGCCCCAAAACTGTTAAATCCGTTGCGGCCTTCTTTTCCCCTTCCCCCCTCTTATGACTTTTTCACCCCTTGGGAGGGTTGAGTCCAGGGCAATTGCTTGGGCGGTCTGCAGTGTCCAGATCCCCCGTACTTCTGCCGGTCTTTGATCGAGTGAATTTTTTCATCAACTTCACGTATTCTGCAAACAGGGACACCCCAAAAGTCTATTCCTTCCGTCTTTTCGTTAAAAATACCTAAAACAGCACTGGGGGCCCCAAGGGGCTACCCCTGGGGACCCCCCCTTGGTCACTGGTCCCCCCCTTGACACCTCGCCACGTACCATTACTCGCTGCTGTCTTCCTGACAAGTATTCCCTGATCCATTGTAGGGCCTTCTTTGTTATCCCTGCTTGGTCCTCCAGTTTTTGCACTAATCTCTTGTGTGGAACTGTGTCAAACGCCTTCTTGCAGTCCAAGAAAATGCAATCAACCCACCCCTCTCTCTCTTGTCTTACTGCTGTCACCATGTCATAGAACTCCAGTAGGTTTGTGACACAGGATTTCCCATCCCTGAAACCATGTTGGCTGCTGTTGATGAGATCATTCCTTTCTAGATGTTCCACCACTCTTCTCCTGATAATCTTCTCCATGACTTTGGATACTATACATGTCAGTGACACTGGTCTGTAATTTAGTGCTTCATGTCTGTCTCCTTTTTTAAAGATTTGCTGTCTTCCATGCCTCAGGCATTCTCCCTGTTTTGATAGATGTATTGAATATAACAAAAAAAGGCACAATGCCGTGACTGGAACGATACACAAATAACCTGTCTCGTGTTTCTGTTCCTTCTTCATTTATTTCACCACTTCCCCTTTCACGCACCTCTGTGCGCTTGCTCTCCCTCTGTGGGCACCTAGCTCTCTTGCAGTGCTCCCCTTCCTTTGTATTTGACTGGCTCGTCCTCCTTATTCCCCACTTCTTCTACTACGCTACTACTACCTCTTCTACTACTACTACTACTGATGAAATTAAGACACATGTGCGGCGTCTGGTTGTCTTTGTTGTGGACGTTTCGCCATCCAGTGGCTGGCTGGATGGCGAAACGTCTACGATAGGGATGCCCGGGTGTTGCGCATGTGTCTTAATTTCATCTTGTCAGTATTATATACCATTCTTGTACGACTACTACTACTACTACCACCACCTCTTCCTGCCTATATATAGCCGTCCTGCTCCACTTCTGGTTAGTGTGACTTTGTAAATGGTCCAAGTCGGACCGAAACGTCGTCGTAAGCTTCTCTCTTTTATGTGCGGGTTATTTGTGTATGTATTGAATATTGTTGTTAGGGGTTACACATAGCGCCTCTGCTCCCTCTCTCAGGACCCATGGGGATATGTTATCTGGCCCCATTGCCTTTGAGGTATCTAGCTCACTCAGAAGCCTGTTTACTTCTTTCTCGGTTGCGTGTACTGTGTCCAGCACTTGGTGGTGTGCCCCACCTCAGAGAGGAGACCCTTCTGTCTCCTCTGTGAACACTTCTTTGA